AATATTTATTCATGACTTGAAATATAGATTGTATTCACAGACGCACAGTCATTACCCTGCCCAGGGTCTTTTCTGAATATTACATCCCAAACTGCCCCGTGCACATCAATCATCCTGTCCACAATCATAAACTGAAGTTGAAACTTGATAACTAGAGCACAGAGTGACACCATGCCATTCAGAAAATACTGAAAACCTTCCCTGAAAGTTTGAAAGTTAACTGGGCAACATTCTGCTCATAGAAAAGTGGAGAATTGAAAATCAGTGGTTGGAGTCAGAGAGGAACACAAAGGAAAAGGTGTTGACTGAGTGTTATATATCACTGGAACAGATGGTGCTCCTAACATGGGGTGGAGTAGTTGTGAAGAGGTGTAACAGATCTCTGTAAACCATGACATGAAGGACATCGAACAGTGAAGGTAGTTTTAGTATTGAAAAGTGCCCTCTGATTAGGGGCAAAAAAGATGTTCAAATGTATCTACAGTGTTTGATGTGATATTTAGATGCTTTGAAGGTTTTGAGTATCAAAATCACCATTGATTCAGAGAAGAAACTAATGATTCATCCACAAAGAAAGTACTAATGGAATTGAAAAGATGTCTCGAAAGTGAGCTCCATGCAATGTAAGAAAATAAAGTTTTTTCCAGAAGCATTTCCCAACGATCAGGTAAATTCCCTCATTGTGAGAAATAAATTGCATAGTCAAATGAATAGGTTGCAACTAAATATTGAGATTCTTAAAGCCAATGTTGAGAGACACAAGGAACACTTCACAGAATATTAAAGACATCTCATTCAGAATGTTCAGGGAACTAACAAAGATTTCTGGAAATGTAACTGGTCTTTCAGAAGAAAGCTAGGACAAAAAGAATTAGCTGACTGACCTAGACAATCTGAAGGCTGAACAGAACATCATGTGGCAAGGTGAAAAGGGACATAAGGAAGAGAAATTACAAATTGCCCAGTTATCACAGAAGGCATTCGACAGGGACATTCAGAGCCCCATGTTAAAATTTCAACCACACATGCTTCAAATGGAAGAATTTCAAAAAATGATAACACTGAATTCAGACAACGAACTGTTGAACTGCAGGTGCAGCTTAGCTGTCTGTCATGCTCAAAAAATGATTAACAGGAGACCAATAACAAAACTGGAAGGAATTTTTCAGAGGAAATATGAAATTGAAGAAGCCAAGCAGGGCAAGCACAGCAGGATGCTGACAAAATGGTGTAAGATGTGTACATAGAGGCTTGGAAGAGAAATATAAGCTACAAAATCATAATGTAAAGCTTGTGAAGCATGAAGGCCAAAGGCTGACTGGAGAGTGCTGCTTTAGTTCAAATGAAGAGGGACAACCTCCTACCATGTTAGCAAAACTGCACGGAATGTTTTTGGAGAAACAAAACAAGTTGTTTAACACTCTTAGGTTGTTCTGTTTAATTCTAAAAGTTGATTGTTAACCTTCTTTAGTTTAGACACAATAGTCCACATCATAGGAGAGATGAGAAAAACAAGATGCACATCAGGAAGTCCTGACATGCTGACTTGATAGGAAGCATGAACTTTTTCCCTTGAATTGGTATTCTTGAGTATTGTCCTGATGAGTGCAAGATGAAAATCTTCTACAAAATGTGTCCTTTTTTTGGGCAAGACTCGAGTTTGAACTTCTCCTGGGCAATTCCCTGCTCCCCAGGAATTGTCCGTGACAACTTCCGACTGTAAGTTGGAGTTTGAGGCTTTGAAAGGTTCTGGGATTCTTACTTGATAGCTTCTCCAGGAAATGTTAGTCAACAAAAAAAATCAGAACCACCACAGTCACTTGAATTGACCAGCCGCCATCTATCCCTTCACCCTGACTACCCCTGAAGTCCATAACATTTGGCCATCCCCCATCCCTCCTGAACATACTGACCCCTGTACACCTAGTTATCCTTCTCTTTGTTCATTTGTGGGATGTGGGTGTCGCTGGCTGGCCAGCATTTATTGCCCATCCCTAGTTGCCCTTGAGAAGGTGGTGGTGAACTGCTTTCTTGAACTGTTGCAATCACCTACTCTGGGTTGACCCACAATGCCATTACGGAGGGAATTCCAGGATTTTGATCTAGTGACAGTGAGGGAAAAAAATGTATATTTCCAAGTCAGGATGGTGAGTGGCTTAGAGGGGAACTTGAAGTTAATGGTCTTCCCTTTATATCTGCTGCCCTTGTCCTTCTAGATGGAAGTGGTTGTGGGCTTGGAAGGTGCTGTCTGAGGATGTCTGGGGAATTTTTGCAATGCATCTTCTAGATAGTACACTGTCATCAGTGGAGAGAATGGATGCTTGTAGATGTAGTGCTAATCAAGTGAGCTGCTTTGTCCTGGATGGTGTCAAGCTTCTTGAGTGTTGTCGGGGCTGCACTCATCCAGGCAAGTGGGGAGCATTCCATCACACTCCTGATCTGTGCCTTGTAGGTGGTGGCCAGGCTTTGAGGAGTCAGGAGGTGAGCTCCTCACTGTAGCTTCTGACCTGCTCTTGTAGCCACTATGTTTATGTGGTGAGTGGAGGTGAGTTTCTGGTCAATGATAACCCCCAGGAAATTGATAGTGGGGGATTCAGTGATGGTAACACCCCCATTGAATGTCAAGGGGTGGTGGTTAGATTGTCTTTTATTGGTGATGGCCATAGCCTGACATTTGTGTTATTTATATGTTACTTGTCACCTTTCAGCCCAAACCTGGATATTGTCCAGATCTTGCTGCATTTGAACACAGACTGCTTCAGTGTCTGAGCCGTCGTGAACAGTGCTGAACATGGTGCAATCATTGGCAAGCATCCCCACTTCTGATCTTATGATGGAGGGAAAGTCATTAATGATGACCTCCAGACCTACACACTCCCCCCATCTACTGAGCAAACACCTCACACCTCCCTCCCCTGCCCCACCTAACTTACATACCTAATGCACCTATCCATTTAATCAGACATCTACTGACTTGTTCACTCATACTCACACTGGACGTTTAAACTTCTGTAAGCAGGCTGGTTCTGTAATGTGGGGTGGTGGAGTCCATTATTTTCCCCTGATACTACATTGCTGTGATGGAGTTCTTTGTGGGGTTTGCACACTCTGCATTTCTGAGGAAATCAACATCTTACCAGAAATGTAGAGTGGCACCAGAGCATAGAAAAGTCTGAGCAGAATGGAAATTTTACAATAATTGCTGCCTTGTGAAAGATCTAGGCCAACATGTGACAGTAAATCATTGGAACAATGATATTAATATAAAGCAGTATTATACTGTAAAGACAGATCAATGTTATATTATAATTTTCAGAGTTTGGGGCTATATATTCTGATGTTCACGTGTGCCCAGAATGACACAATATATCACTCCTGTATATCCTAACAGTTTATCACGCTACAGCACATGGTGTGCTCAAGAGAAGACACTCTGTCAGCTGCAGTGTTCTTGTCTAACAGTGTGATTATTTCAAACTTCTGGAAACCACAAGATACAGCACACCAGGTGTGGCTCGGGGGATGTATTTTTTTAAATCACAATGTTCCTGTTAAATGTTTAGGAACGATAAGTGCAACTCGTTGGACAAAAAAGTTGCACAAAAATGTAAACAACAGCATTTTCAGAGATGCCAAAACCATTTGTAAGCTTAGCCAGAATAGAAGCTGAGAACAGGTGGGGTGATGATTTTTTTTTTCGTGCTGATGCAGTTCTCTCAAAAGGTCATGGACCGGAGTCTTCAAATCGGTTCCACTCCCCACCTGTGTACCTGGGACTGCAAGATTTCCAGGATTGTCTTTGTTCGTGGGATGGGGGTTTGATGTCCAGACCAGCATTTATTGCTCACCCCTGCTTCTTTCCCATTACATTCAAGTTCTACCATTAAAAGCATTTGATGGGCAGTGCTGGAGGGGAAAATACAGCACTGACATTCGGGCAGCGAAAGCAAATGAGGTGGATGCGCTTTAAGAAATGTGTGAAATTCCTCCTTGTGTGAGACCACTGACCCTGCCATTGCAGTGTACCCATTTTGCTAACGATGGGAAGAGGGGGAAAAAATGCCTACATTTGCTTTGCAGCCGTTCTACATTTAATAGGAACCTGTTCCTTTTCTCGAATCTCCCTCCCCAATGTAAAGTCAACCACCCACGCTTCCATCAGCCACTGTGTCAGGCTCAGCCCATGGCTATTCATCGTGAATGCCCCCTTGAGGTTTTGTTTGCAGCTCCCTGTCTGGCCACACTGTCTCCCAGTCAGGCCGTGGCCTCCCCCTTTTTCCTGGAGATGGAAGGGGTGCTGGCAGAAAGGGATGCTCCAGCTCTAACCGAGATGAAGAATTTTCCGGAATGTGCGTTACACTTGAACTCCCTCCCTCTGGATTTTTTTTTCTCTCTCTCCTCCTACCCCACCTCTCCATGCACGTCTGCCCGTCATTTCCGCCAGGAGCTGTGCGTGTGGAGAGATGTGTATGTGTGTACGCGGGCCAGAGGAGAGCGCCGTCAGCACACGGCTAGCAGCAGCAAAGACAAGACACTCACTCACTCACTGAGAGACACAGCCGCTGCATCCATCCTCCCCCTGAGCGCTGACAGACGCCGCATACCATCACACACACTCTGCACTCTCACTCTTCACACAAGCAAAACAAAAAAAAAACCCCCAAAATCTAAACACATCCATCCCCCCCCCCACCCCCCCCCCCCCAAAAAAAAATTCTGAATGCAATGCTGGTTTTATTGTAAAACATCCACAAGGTGCTTGGTGGTCATTCTGAATCCGCAATAAGCAAACTTTCTTTTAAAAAAAAACAAGAGAAAGCATCACCAGAGAAAGAGCAACATTTGCCGAGAGACACCCGCAGCTGACAATGTAAAGCCAGAGGATTTTCACCCGCTACTGGGAAGGAGGACAAGTGACAGACCACTCAGGGCGACGCTGCAAGCCACCCCCTCGCGTCTCCTTTTTTTTAAAAACAAGATCATTGATTTGTTTGCCCGGGTAACGGAAAGTTCTTCATGGCTCTGATCATGGAACCTGTCAGCAAGTGGAGCCCGAATCAAGTGGTGGACTGGATGAAAGGTAACGAACTGCATTGTAACAAGTTTCTGTGGGATAGCGAGCTCACTGCTTTGGCGAGCAAGGAGCTAAATTGTTTCATTTAACAATCGCTTCCACAACCCAAGGCGTATTCCCCCCCCCCCTTTTTTCAGTTTGAGTTTATTTAAGAAAGTTGTTTATTATCTGTATCTTGTAGTCACAAGTTGTTGAAAGAAAACGGTGAATTGCATTGCGAGATGTTTACTTGTATTGTTGAGTATTTTGGGCGACTGATGTTTTGGCTGGTGAGGTAAACAGAATGCAGTTTGCTGTTCCTCGCTTTATGATTATTTTAGATATTATTGAAGACTAATTTCTAATACCTGGTAGCTTAGGTTTGTCGCTGTGTGGAGCTGCGTGCCGATGTGATAACCATGGAAACATTGCTAACCTCTACACCATTAGCATTGAATTAGGCGATACGAAGGAAAGCGTATCCAGCAAATGCTCTGCTTGTTTTCAAAGATTGCAGACTTAAGGCTGGTGTTAGGTTTGGAAAAAGCAAGCATCCTCTCCCACCACCAACCGCCCCCCCCTCCCCCATTCCCCACCACCGAAACATTATCAGGTAAATGTTATCTGTGTGCATATTTTGTAAAGTTCGCGATCTTTTCTCCACTGGTAGTGACATTAAGGGATTTGCAATATGTTGTCCACACGGTAGGGATATGTTGACAGGTAACCTGTGCTGGCACTGCTGTCTCGCATTGACCAGCCAGTGGGTGAGCTTGAATGAAAGCGCTATGTTTGATGCAGGTTCCTAGTGCGATAGAGCAGCTTAAAACGGGGAACTTCAGTCCTCGAGGCTGGGCACTGGCTACTGTCATTCCCAATCTAGCTCCCATCAATTTGTAGACGGAAAGCAACACATTTTTTTTAAGGGGGAAACATTTTTTTTAAGGGCCGACTCCAGAAAACAAATAGTAAAATATGGCTTTGGAGTTGGCTCTTCTTGCCTTTAAATAAATAAAACAAACAAACTTTGCAGCATCCTGAATGGCATTTCACGATTTGGGTTTGTGAACAGAACGGCGGTGTTTGATCCACAAGGGTGAACATCATTTACCCCACTTTTCCCTTGCCACCTTGGGTCAACATAGATACAACCGAGTATGAAGCACCCCCACCCCCCGGCATTGATATCAATTCTGTGTTGAAAGTGGACATTTAAAAACAGCGGGGAGAGCGGCTGCTGAGAGTTGCCACGGTTGACATTTTACATGTGGTTACACTGAGCAGACGGTACACCTGCCTTACAGCTTGTAAAAACAAAATGATCAAGCGTTTTGCAGCCCGGATACAGGCTATTCGGCCCAACAGGGACCACCCCCCACCACCCACATCCATCACTTACATCTCATCCGCCCACATGTTAAGCAGGAAAGCAGGCAGTCCACGGAAAGAACAACGCTGGCTGTTGAACGCGATCAAAGCAGCGGCAGCAACAAACGAAGCAGAATATGCTGAGCTTTCAAAGTAAAACAAAACGTACAGCGATGGAGAGAGAGAGAACAGAGTGCCCAAGCAATCAATGTCTGACCGATATATCTCACCATCTGCTCCAGTCACTCCGGTCGTTTAAAGCAGTTTGAAGAGACGAAGTTGATTTGGTTGTTGGATGTGAACTGAATATATTAGTGCGATTGTGAGAGAGAATGCAGTTTAAAAAAACTGAACTGGGGATATACTGAACCTGAGATATACGCGGGGAAAAATTACTATCAACATGCTCATTATTTTTTTGCCACATCTACAGCGAGACAAAAGCATAATCATTCGTTATTTTGCACAAAATGCCATAACATATTAAGGATAAATAACACACATACACAAGCTAAAGTTACAGTAAACAAAATGCTATTATAACATGGCATGATTTCAAACGTGAAACTTACTCCGTTTGGAATCCAGGTGTGGGTTAAACATCATTTGATTTTATTGCTGCTACATGGATTCGTTGAACTTGTCAATTTTCTCACTCCCAACCTCCCTCCCGCCACCACCAACACACACTGCCAAGTGTTGAAGTTTTTCCTGTTCTGCTGTTTTCCTTCCTGAGTACAGGGCTGAGAATGGTAGAATGACCTCTGCAGCAGACCCACCATCATATTGGATATTTCAGCTGAAATCCAGTCAGGAAAGTGATTGGTGAACAAAGATCAACTATTGATCTATATTAGGTGTCAGTAGGCATGGTGTTGGGGCTGATGTATTCAGCATTAGGTTTTCCGCAGGCAAGTAAATGCGGGGAAATTTCTACTTTGATCGCAATTGATTTTTTTTTTAAATGTGGAATTCTTAGTTGGAAACGCCAGTAGTAAGATGCCGCAAAGCTGGATACAAGATCCTTTAATTGTGCATTAACTCTATACAATGTTTGCTAGGTACTTTTATAAGAGCACCTTTTGCAATAGAGACCAAAGAACAGTTGATTCCAGGCGATCTGTTCAGATTGACTACAGATACGCATAAAAAAGGAAACAAAAATCTTCTTGAACTGCAGGAGGTTTACCATCACCTGTAACATGAAGAAGCAGCTTAACGTTTTAGGGCTTTCTAATGAAGAGTCATTCTTAAAATATTGTCCTTCCATTTTCTTGATGTTCTTATGAAACGTCCATGTATTTTCAGCAGTTTCCATTTTTAAGTGGCTGAACTCAACTCGATCATTTTATTTTTCTGAAAATATTTCTTCCGCGATTTTCATAAAAGGTAAAGTTCTCATAAAAGTGGCAATACAAAGTTTTTATTAAATGTGTTCTTCACAAGACATGTAAATTAAGAGCTTTTAACCAGTTTTATCCATTCATCTAGATGGACGTGACTAATCTTTCTTGAGCCTTTGTAACTTTAAGACCATTTCATAACATATAAAAGAGGCATGTGCATTGCAAGGTGGATCTTGTCAAAAACTTGGACCTATAATTTAACATCTGATTCTGGCACTTTTCCATAACATTGTAGAAATATATCGATTACATAATTGAACACCAGCCAATTCCAGAGATGCTTTACTCAAAGTATATTGGAAAAATGAGAGGCAAATGCTTAATTTATCCAAAGGGCCAAGCGTAGACCATTCAACTTCTTCAGCCTATTCTGTCATTCAGTTGGATCATGGTAGTTTCATTGTCTTAACTCCATGTTGTCCACATTTTTATTACTTGCCTTGATTCCATATTCCTTAATATCATGACCTAATATCCAACTCTCTCAATGTCACCGTAGTACGGGAAAACAGAACTTTGAGGTCAGGATTTCTTTACTGTATGCTAACACATGCTTGAAAACGTTTTGCAAAGCATGCTGCTGAAAGTGATGGCACTTTAAGTTCTCAAAGAGTTTTATATTTAACAAATATCTTCAAACCAGTATATCCGGTCTTGAATCCATTTTTCAAAGTATTTTGGTAATAGAGGGTTAGTGCACTCTGTGCATACTTTGTTTTCCAGTTTTCAAGAAATGATGTGAAATCAGTTTTAAAATTCTGTTTGTCTAAATAGGGTAATGAGTGGTGGTGTTTTTTGAACAAAGTGTTAGACTAGGACAAGTTGACAAGATTTGTTTTTCAAGAAACCCCATTAATTTGTGTTTATCAATGCCTCCTGGCATTGAGCCAAGTTTACCCATTGCACACAGTACAGCAAACACTAAACTCCAGTGACCCATAGAGCTCTGTGGCAGTGTATGGACACTTATGGTATGGATATGTTTGGATTGACAATTTTTATGTCCTTACTTTTGTTCAAAAGTTTTGTAGTTGTCCAAAGATTCAAAGTTCTTGTTATGACTGAAGAACATTTGAAATACATATATGCAAGTGATTGAACTGTTAAAGTTTGAGAGAAAGTTCATGCATTAAAAGATTAAAATGAGAATTGCTAATTGGGACTTATTTATTTTTTTTAGTGGGAAGTTGCAAAACAATAATAGAGATAATGTTACATGAGTGCTCCATTCCCAAAAGAGTATTTAGGGAGAACAAATTCCTGACTTAGTTTTCAATAGCTCTGAAGGGCAACAACAAAATGATGTGATCTGATGCAGCATGTTGTGACAAAGAATTATTTAATGTGGTGTTTGTAAACACAGGAATAGTTAGTTAGAATTTGTTTACCAATTATGGGCAAACCATTCTCTGCTTAGATCACATCTAATCTGGAGAATTCACATTAAGAGGCCACGTGTAATGTATATCACAAATGGAATAAGATGAGGGAGTTTGAATTTCTAGTTACTTCCATCACAAGAACTGAATTCCCATGGTTTTGCTTAATTATGTTTTGCTTCTACATTTTTAAGCCACATAATGAAATGACCTGCAAGTTCAATAGAAGTATTACAAAATATAAGCAGACATCCCTGGTTTTCATTCAGCTAAAGAGCTAAGCAAGATTTACTTCTTTTTGATAAAGCAGATGAATAAGTTGCTATAGACTTGTAATGCTGCTTTTAGTTATCCTTCAAATTGACTAAGCAAGTACAAGCAAATTTCAGAATTTTTATCTTGTAAATAATCTGAGAGTTTCCTTGTCAGTCATTAGCACTGATATGTGGACCTGAAGGATATCTGTAACAGATAATTTAAGGAGTGTCTAATCAATTTTCCTGAAATGTAGCTATTAACATGATGCTTAGGAAATATTGGTATCAGTGATTGTGTTTATTCAATTTACATTGAAAATCTTGTGCTATCTACACATCATTACAATTCAAATATCAAATTGGTATTCAGACCAGTTTATCACTTACAGAACACTTCCCATTATATTGACTTTTATTTTGCTAAGACTTTTGCCATACTTTTAGATAAGTTTACAGTATTTAACAAAACTATTTGTCTAAGCGTAAAATAAAGTTTGGGATTTATAGTGGGCTGCAATTACGAAACATAAACATAATTCTGACTTGAGCTGTTAACAGCCAGTTGTGAAACACACTTCACATTTGGAACATAATTTGTAATAACAAATACTGTTTAG